GGTAACAGGCACGGTCAGCACTAGTAGGCAATGCATACATGGCAGTGAGAATAGCATCTTAGTCAAGAGCAAAGATATCTACCCTCTGCCCAAGCAGCTCCACCCAGTCGGGGAGCTCAGCCTCGTCACCAAACTCGGTACGCCAGGCGTCGCTCAGACGGGCGAAGCAGCGGGACTCTGTGTGACTGAGCGTCCCGCAAGCCTGACCAGTCCGAGCACCAGTGCGAATGACGTACGGGCAGCGAACGGTACTCAGAAACCCTCTACTCTGAGCGTACCACTCGTGAAGCTCCTGGGACGTAAGTGTCTCGCGTGGACGCCGCTGCAGCTGCAGCTGGCCACTGCCAGACTCTCCCAACTGACCAGCTCCAGGGCGACAGCTACGACGGCTACCGCGACAACCCCAACTAGCGTACCACTCACTAAGCTGCTGGGGCGTGCGAGACTCGCGCGGACGTCGCTGGAGCTGCATCTGGCCACCGCCAGTAGCAGCAGTAGCAGTAGTAGCAGCAGTAGCAGCAGTAACAGCAGTAGCAGCAGTAGCAGCGCGGCCACCCCTACAACCCCAACTAGCGTACCACTCACTAAGCTGCTGGGGCGTGAGGGACTCACGTGGACGTCGCTGGAGCTGCATCTAGCCACCGTCAGTAGCAGCAGTAGCAGTAGCAGTAGCAATAGCAGTAGTAGCAGCAGCAGCGCTTGCAGGGCAGGCGCGGCAGGCAGGCAGGCAGGCAGGCCGGCTGGCAGGCAGGCAGGCAGGCAGGCGGCAGCGCACGAACAAGGTAGGTGCTCACCAGTGGCGGGAAGGGCAGGCGCACGACGGCGGCGACGGCGGGGCCGCTACAGCTGCGGCAGAGCAGGGCCGCGTCGGCGGTAGGGCAGGTCCGCGACATCTGCTGCAGGGCAGGGCCGCGACCGCGACAGGAGGCTCCGTGACAGCTGCTGCAGGGCAGGGCCGCGACGGCGGCAGAAGGCTCCGCGGCAGCTTCTGCTGGGCAGGGCCGCGACTGTGGCAGGGCGCTCCGTGGCAGCTGCTGCAGGAGCGACGGTGGCAGCTGCTGCAGGGCGGCGTCCAGGGGCAGCCGCGGCGCGCGAGGCTGCAGCGCGCTGCGCGAGCTGCGGGCGCGGCGCGCGGGGCTGCAGCGCGACGCGCGGGCAGCGAACGCGGCGCGCGGGGCTGCAGCGCGACGCGCGGGCAGCGAACGCGACGCGCGGGGCTGCAGCGCGACGCGCGGGCAGCGGGCGCGACGCGCAGGGCTGCAGCGCGACGCGCGGGCAGCGGACGCGACGCGCGGGGCAGCAGCGCGACGCGCGGGCAGCGAGCGCGACGCGCGGGGCGGCGACCTGGCCTGACGGGCCTGCAGGGGCGGCTCGCGGGCCTGTCGGGCCTGCAGAGGCGGCTAGCGGGCCTGACGGGCCTGCAGGGACGGCTGGCGGGCCTGACGGGCCTGCAGGGGCCTGCAGGGACGGCTGGCGGGCCTGACGGGCCTGCAGGGGCGGCGCTCTGGCCTGACGGGCCTGTAAGGGCGGCGCTCTGGCCTGACGGGCCTGCAGGGGCGGCTCGCGGGCCTGACGGGCCTGCAGGGGCGGTTAACGGGCCTGACAGGCCTGCAGGGGCGGCGCACGGGCCTTACGAGGCTGTAGGGGCGGCGTGCGGGCCGTACGGGCCTGCAGGGGCGGCGCGCTGGCCTGGGGCAGCAGTAGGCAGCGCGAGGGCTGCAGGACGGCGCGCGCAGCGCAGCACGTCACAAGGCAAGGCAGGCGCAGGACAATGCGTGGGGTAGCGTGGTAACCGCAACGGTAGGTGGGCCCGAAAAAAAAAAACGGTCCTACGGACCTAGTGCTCTGAAACCATGTTAGAATCTAGCAGCAGGAATGAATGAACTATGGAAGAGTTGGGTACAAATATGAAACCCTAAAGTGGGCTTTACCCCATATTGGCTACCCCACTACAGCCTAAACATGTATAGTAGATATAACGTTTGACAGCTTTCTCAAGGCCCGGTCCCTCCTATCACTGGCCCTCTCAGCCCAGCCGGGAAATGCAGCAGCGCTGGGGAATGCAGCAGAGGTGGAGGAGGCGCTGGGGAATGCAGCAGCAGCGCCTACTGTGCCTCCTGTACACAGAAGGCAGCTTGTGTACAGTTGAATCTGAGCGTTGTTCTGTTGAATATATGTGTGAAATTACGTGTTAGGTTGCTCTGGGAAATGAGTTGTGTGTGCTGATTGTTTGACTGCTCTTTGAGCTTTGCAAAATTGAAGTGAATCCGTGTAATTGAGCAAGGACCAACCAAACAGAAGAATGAATAAGAGCAGGAACTCAGAGGAAAACACGGTGTATACGTATTATTGAAGACTTTGGGATCGCTTCTAACGGATCCACCGGTTTGTGCGGCAACCCACACCCCCTCAATATTATGCGAAATCGCAAAACCAATAATCGCCACGGTAAGTCAAAACCGCGTCTCACCGCACTAAAACAACGTCTCACCGCACCAAGACCTCCAATCTCGCGACTGTGACTCTTCCCCACCCCACACGCCCAACATCATTTGCCAAGCCTTAGCCGCACAAAATATCACCCGTAGCCTTCCGCATTCGGCGGCGGCAGCAGCGCTGCGCAGAATAATTATTCTGTGGCATGTGACGTGTTTTTCCCCTCAGCCAATGGTGCCCACGTTCTTCGCACGTATAAAGTATGTCACTATGCTGGAGCCAATCTTACTTCGCTGTGACAGCATTGTTAGCAGTACTACTAGCGCGCTACTCGAACAGCCGCCACCATCCAGCCACGTATTTCTGGAGCCTTCAGTTTATATCGTATCGCCATGGCTCGCTCCATTCTCTCCGTCGCGCTCTTCCTCGCTGCAGTTCTGGCTCTCTCCTGCGTCTCGTGCGCGCAAGGCGTCAGAGTTATTGCAGATGATGCGAACAAACTCCTGGCTGGAATGCGCAAGGCAGATGACGGTACGATGACCGATTTTATTCGTAGTATTTCTACGCACGGTTCCAGAGAACGCATGAATAACCAGAGCGCCCCGCTCGCGTTCCTGTTCTTGGTGTATCCGACAATTGCGAGGGACGCTTCTCTGAAAAAATCTGAGCCTTTTCCATGCGGAATATTTCAGGTCGAATCATGGGCGTTCAGATCCCACACCTGCCCGTTGCCTCCTGCGGTGCCTCCCCGTGAGCAGGCACTCCATGCAGTCTGGTGTTCAAGCGGAAAGTGGACGACTGCTACTCGCTCTCCCTCGTGAGGACGCGGAAGAGCATGGACAAGTGCAAGGAAGACCTGCAGGCGCAGATTGCGCAGTGCGGAGGCAAGCCAGTACGGGTAAGCATGGACGGCTCAGAATTTACCCTAAGGCACTTTTGAGCCGCCTTGGGAATAGAGCATAGTGCAAGGAAGAACTGCTGGCGCAGATTGAGCGGTGCGGAAGCAAGCCAGTACGGGTAAGACACTTTTGAGCCGCCTTACTAGCATTGATGGAGCAGTGCATGAGGCCAGCGGCGACGGGTAAGTCACGTGCGTGATGTGGCGTCACATGCAGTGCCATCTGGCTTACCACTCACAAATGCCTATTCCATTTGTTTTTTCAGTGCGCATCATCTTTCCATAATTACCCGCCACAGGCCAGGTGTCCCTTCCAGTGCATGAGAAACCATCTCACCCTGTATGCACATTCTGTTATACTGCCCTTTCTCCTTGTCCTTGTTTTTGCAGACCGAGTATCCTCTGGCAGGAGGAGCACGCAAGCCTAGTAAGTCAGCAAGGCAAAGCGCCAAAAAGTGATTTCTACTAGTGGGCATGGGGGGGAAAGAATATCGTTATGGGGTATGCTTCGGTGGTGTTTTCTTTTGGGTGTTCGTAGTGAATCTGTGCAAAAGGGTGGCTTGTTGCTATTGGGAACGCATTGGGAATGTATGTTCTTTTGATGTTTGAGGTAGTAAGACACTTCTAGGAAGGGTTTATGCATGTCTGTATGCTTGTTGAAATGTAACGAAGCTGATTAGTGGCGAAAAAAAAAAAAAAAAAGGAAAAAAAAAAATAGAAGTTTGATTTCTGTACAGGATATAAGTGACGAGTGCCCATTTTCGATTCAAACATCAAGAAGCACCAAACGTACTTTCTCGTTCATTCTTGCGAGTGATGAACAATCTCTTACTGGAATTGTGGCAGCTCGCTTGTTCTTCCAATTCCACCGCCATCTGCGGTAGCCAATGAAGCTCCTGAGTACGCGGTAAGGAAGAAAGATGGAAAGTCGAGCTGGCTTCGTGGGTCGCAGGACAAAACATTCTACACCTGTGAGGATTGAAATTGAGCCGTAGATCCTCCATCTCCACTCTCAACGCATCACAATTCTTCAGCAGCCCAACGCAGAGTCAACGCGTCACAGGTTCTAACACGGGGCAGCTTGCGCATTATTGCACTTGCATTATCACCGAAATTGCATAATTCACATTCAGCAGCCCAACCAGAGTCATTTCGTGAGTACTCTTGCGCGTTTCACGGCTGTAGGCAGAAACGGACGCCCCTCGATGTCGCGCTCTCGTTATTCTTCGTCCACGCAAACGGGCTCAATTCATATTTCCATTCTTAGCTCTCTCAATCCCTCCCAGCCAGTCCATCACGCAGAACGCCATGGCTCGCCCCATTCTCTCCGTCGCCCTCGCAATCTTCCTCGCTGCAATACTGGCGCTGTCTTTCGCTCAAGGTACGGCGTCTCGTAGTGCCATCGCCGAACTTAATTCCTGGCGCCGCGCTTATGCATCGCGCCCTCACCCCGTGTTGCATAAAAATACCCGTCTTGGCACTTGCTTTCAGGAAAGTGAACCTCTCTGCCTGACTCCTGACTCCTTCCTCCATGCATCGACCAAGCCATCTACTAACTCGTCTCATGTCTCTTCCACGCATCCCATGTCAAACTGCCCAGGCCTCCTCTGCTTAACATTCTCTCTGACCCTCACACTTCTCACTCCTCTTTTCCTGCCCCTACCAGCAACGAGCGCCGAGGTGGCAGGCGTCGTCACAGCAGAGAACGCGGCGAGTACCGCCCTGCTCAACGAAGTGCCGCGCGAGGCGCAGCGCCATCGCAAGCTCATTGAGTCATTCGCCGATGGTAAGATGATGGGAGGCGGTCTAGACCGAACGAGCATAGGTTCTCTGCCGGTCCTCCCTGTGCATTATAACCGGCTTTCCAGCGTGCTCTTTTCTTTTCTCCAAATGTCCGTGCCGTGGCATGGGATGATTGCGAGGCAGCGGCCTTTTCACTTTCCAGCAGCAGAGACATTTCCCGCCTTGCTGTCGCGTTTCGTCCGCGCCAAGGCTGAGAGCATTCCTTACCCAAGCTCCTCAAATCTCCTATCTTTCCTTCTGCCCGCACTGGGTGGTCCCCCTTACCACCAGCTCCCTCATGCCAGACGGAACGCGCGCGGAAAGTTCAAACGTGCTACTCAGTTTACCGGAATAATCCGAGCTTAGCCGCGAATTGCGCTCGCAACGTTTTGCAGATGTTTCCCTGCCCTGACGCGTCGCAATCGGTACGTCACACACATGGGGTACGGGCCATGAGCACTGCGGTTGTCACGTGTATCCCTTCCCTTGTTTCGTTCTGTCGCTCTCACATGGCGCCATGTGATCCTGTGTGCCGCTCACATGCCAGATACATCTAGCGTCCCTGGTGTGTCGCTCTCACATGGCTCATCACATGTCATATCTCCTTCCAGGTCATTGTAGACCATCTCACCTCTGCGTGCACATCTGTTGGTCTGAACTGCTCCCTTCCCTTGTACTTCTCAGCCTTAAATTGGTGCACTAGGGCCCCACCTGTGATTCATAAATTCTGTGGAACCTACTCAAGAAGGAATGTATCTTCTGATGGTGGTTTTAGCTAGTGATGATGCTACTTCGGCTTCGAGCTAGTGTTTTCTTGTGTGTTTTCGTGTCACATGATGTTTAACGGAGCTTAGAAGAGGGAATGCCTGAAATTGTGTGCTTGTTCTGAATGTGCCTACTGTTGTTTATTTGCTGCTTCTGTATTCTGCTGCCAACTAGTGTTGAGTTAAAGCCGGCGGCCCAAATTGTTCATGCTTTTAAAAGTTGACCAGAGGGAGTTTTTCTGGTGTGGGCTTTGGCGAGAGTTTCCGATTTCGTCTAGGTTCGTTTTTTTCGCGAGACCCAGCCAACCCTCGGTTTTCCCCCTGGTGAGTGAATCTGTCTTCGAAAGTCCCAAATTGCAAGTGCGTGACTTTCAAAAGCTTGGACACTCAACTTCGTCAAGTTTTAAAAACTTGACCCTCGCGGCCCGCAATTTGGGACGCGGACTTTAAGCCAATACACATGCTTGAAATTGAGAGAAATGAGGGACATCACCAGATACCAAAACATTACTCAAGCACAGTAAAGTAATTGCGATCACAGTACTAAAATATTACCAAGTAGTTGCGCAAGCTGAGAATAAAATCTGATGTCCTATGCTCTGTCAAACTAAATATATAATGTTAGGGTGTAGGCTGTAGTGGGGTAGCACATATGGGGTACAACACATTGCTAGGGTTTGTACTTGTACCCAATCTTCCCATAGTCAATCATTTCCTGACTAGTTTCTGAGATGGTATCTAGAGCAGTAGGTCTTTAGGACCTAAGATTAGGGCCCACCTGTTACCGCGTTACCTCACCTACGGCCTTGCCTGCCTGCCTGCCTTGCCTGCTGCCCGCGCGCGCCTCGGCTGCACGCGCGCGTATCTTTTTTTTTTAGAGCGCGCTACTGCTGCAGCCGCCTCCGCAGCCCGCTGCAGCGCCGCGCGCCGCGCCCGCAGCCTGCGCCGAGCCCGCGTTGCCCGCGCACCGCTCGCGCAGCCCGCGTCGAGCCCGCGCAGCCCGCCGCCGCGCGCAGCCCGCTTAGGCCCCGCGCGCCGCGTCCGTCGCCAGCGCGGCCCGCTGCTGCCCCGCGCGCTGCGTCGCCGCCCGCGCAGCCCGCTGCTGCCCCGCGCGTCACGTCTGCCGCCTGCGCAGCCCGCTGCTGCTCCGCTAGCTGCCTTAGGAGCGCGCGCGGCCTGCTGCTGCCTCGTGCGCCGCCTTAGGAGCTCGCGTGCGGCCCCCTGTTGCCCCGCACGCCGCTGTAGGAGCCCGCGCGCGGCCTGCTGCTGCCCCGCGAGCTGCCTTAGGAGCCCGCTGCTGCAGCCTACGCGCGGCCGGCTACTGCCCCGCGCGCTGCCTGAGCTGCCTTTGCCTGCTGCCTACTGCCTGCTGCCTGCTGCCCTTGCCTTTGCCTGCTGCCTGCTGCCTACTGCCTTTGCCTACTGGCTTTACCTGCACTGCGATTATGGCGACGCTTAATGTTCTCGCGTTTGAGTCTGACGGTCGCCCGATAGAGTTCGCTGTGTGGCTTGACGATCTCCAACTGTTTCTTCTGACCGATGCCAAAGACGGCGTTTCACTGTTCGATTACGTGTCTGGCACTACCGTTGCTCCTGCTGACGATGCTACTGCTCTCGAACGCTCACAGTGGCAGACTCGCGATGCTGCTGCACGCCTAGCTATTAGGAACCATCTGCCGATCACTGAGCGCGCGCATTTCACCCAGCACAAAACTGCTAAGGCACTGTACGACACTGTAGTTGCGCGCTACTCCTCCTCGGCCACTGCAGCCCTAGGTCGGCTCATGCTACCCTACCTGTTCCCCGACCTGTCCTCGTTTACCACTGCTGAGGACCTCATTTCTCACCTTCGCACTAGTGACACTCGCTTTCGTGCCGCCCTTCCAGCCGAGTTCTGCACCGCAAACCCCCCCCTCCGATGTACTTCACTCTCTATTTCCTCGTCACCCGCCTCCCTGACACTCTTAGCTCCGTCAGGGACCACTTCCTAGCCCTAGACCCTACCACTCTCACTGTCGCCGACTTCGAGAAGCACCTCCTAGCAGCAGAGAAGAACATCCTCGCTGTAGGTGCTGCTCGTGGTACTCCTCGTTCTCCCCTCTTTGAGGGGTGCTCCCCCTCCCCTCTTACCCCCTCCTACGCCTCCGCAGCTGCTGCTGTCGACCTCCTCGGTGCTGAGAAGGTCGCAGTTGCTTCCGCTCCTAGTGGGAAGCGCAGCGGCTCCAGGGGAGGCAAGGGTGGCAGGGGTGGCGGACGGGGCAGTGGAGGGGGCGGTGGTGGAGGCGGCAGGGGAGGTGGAGGTGGTGGGGGTGGTCGTGGGGGTGGAGGTGGTGGTGGGGGCGGTGGTGGTGCCGGGAGCGGTGGCAGTGGCGGCGGCGGTGGTGGCGGAGGGGGGAGTGGTGGTGGCAGCGGTGGTGGGGGCTTGGGTGACACCAGTGGTGGCCAGGGGCAACAGCAGCAGTAGCAGCAGCAGCAGCAGCAGCAGCCGCAGCAGCGTCAGCGCCAGACCCCCACTTCCCAGCAGCTTCTTGACTGGTATGCCGGGCGTGGGGCGTCTGGGGGTCCTGGTCGCTGCCCCTATATCATTCGCGCAGGTCCCTGCGCTGGTCGCCAGTGCACAGGGTTTCACACTGAGTACCGCTGCTTCGCTCGGCTTAGCGACGCCTGGTGCGTTAAGTTTCCTGATGCTACTGAGTTCCCCAACTGGGCAAACCTGCTTAGGCGTGATGTACCTATCTTTGATCTTGACTATGAGGCTATTCTTGCTGCCATGTATGCATTGACTGTTAGTGCTGAGGGTGACTGCTACTTGTGTGTGACGCTTGACCCTGGTATAGCCCCAGGTATAGCGCCAGTTGCACTAGGTGCGTGTGAGTCTGCTCCCCCTGGTACTGCGTCCGCATAGGCCTTGCACACCTTCACACTTGACTCTGGTGCTTCCCGCTGTTTCTTTCGCGACAGCACCACAGTCACTCCCCTCCCTGCACCTGTTCCTGTCTCACTGGCTGACCCCTCTGGGAGCCCAGTGCTTGCACGGTCTTCCACTGTGCTTCCGTGTCCGGCGGTCCCGTCTGGTGAGCTGTCTGGTCTCCACCTCCCCTCGTTCTCTATGAACTTGGTGAACAACGCCGTCCTTTAGGAGCACTGGGTTGACACCTTTACTCCTGGAGGACAGCGTGTGGCGATCTGCACGTGCTCCCGGACCGGCCGTCACCTGGCCACGTTCACACGTGCGCCTGGGTCCAGTCTGTACACCCTCACCACTGCGTCGCGCTCCACCCCTTTGTCTCCCCAGCTGTACGCGTCTGCTCAGGTAGCTACCCAGTGTGAGTGTCGCCGCCTGTCGCACGACACTCTCCTGTGGCACCACCGCCTTGGTCACCCCTCCCTGCCTCGCCTTCGTAGCATGCACTCTCGCTTCCTGGTCTCTGGCCTTCCCAGGTCTCTGCCTGCCCTCCCTTCCTCTGCCTGCGCCGCCCTGCATTCCTTGCGTCGAGGGGCGGCAGCGCGCCGCTCCTCACTCCTCCTCGTTCCCTCCCACAGAGGCTCTACTACAGACTCTCCACCTGGAGGTGTGGGGCCCAGCCCGCGTCCGTGGACAGGGCCACGAGCGGTACTTCCTGCTGGTCGTCGACGACTACACGCGTTACACCACGGTCTTCCCCTTGCAGCGCAAGGGGGAGGTCCCTGATGTTTTGATCCCCTGGATCCGCGCTTTTCGTCTCCAGCTCCGCGAGCGGTTCCAGTCGGACTTTCCTGTCCTGCGTCTGCACTCTGACAGAGGTGGTGAGTTCTCCTCAGACCTCTTGGCAGCCTTCTGTGCGGAGCACGGCATCCGCCAGACGTTCACGCTTCCAGCCTCTCCGCAGCAGAATGGGGTTGCTGAGCGCCGCATTGGCTTAGTCATGGAGGTTGCTCGTACCTCCATGATCCATGCGGCTGCCCCCCATTTTCTATGGCCGTTTGCGGTCCGGTACGCCGCGCATCAGCTCAACCTCTGGCCCCGTGTCTCCTTGCCGGAGACCTCGCCCACACTGCTGTGGACGGGGAAGGTTGGCGATGCGTCGCGTTTCCGGGTCTGGGGTGTTCGTGCCTTTGTCCGCGATACCACCGCAGACAAGCTCTCCCCTTGCGCCATTCCCTGCGTCTTCCTTGGCTTTGTCCCTGACGCGCCTGGCTGGCAGTTTTACGACCCCGCCTCGCGCCGTGTCTTTCCGTCTCAGGACGTCACCTTTGACGAGTCAGTTCCCTTTTACCGTCTCTTTCCCTACCGCACTGCCCCTCGCCCCCCCCCCCCCCGCCGCTCTTTCTCGCCCCAGGTCCTCCCCAGGTAGACCCCCTCCCTGCGCCAGGTCCTGCTCCTTCAGGTGTCTCTTAGGTAGACCCTCCCGTACCTGTGCCTGTTGAGGTCACTGGTGACTCAGGTCCTGCTGGGGGTGGTGCTGTCCCTGGGGGTGCGGAGCTTGGGGGTGCGGAGCGTGGGGGTGCTGAGCCTGGGGGTGCGGAGCCTGAGCGTGAGGACCCAGGAGGTGCTGAGACTAGGGGTGCGGAGTCTGGGGGCACTGAGCCTAGGCGTGAGGAGCCTGAGGATGCGGAGCCTGGAGGTGCTGAGCCTGCGCGTGAGGAGCCTGGAGGTCCTGAGCCTGGGGGTGCTGCGTCTG